ATACATAAAAATACAAATATCTTAAGGGTATATCCTAAAGTTAGTGATTTTGAATGATAATAAACTAAAAATATATTAAACATTTTTTAACCAAAAGTGTAATTTCAAGGGATTTTCCTTAATTTTTAAGTAAAGTAAAAGTAAAAACTTTTATAGACAAGAGTTTTTAGGATTATTAAAATATATCACATTGTCAAGTTATTTCTAATCTTATGCAGCTTCCCCACTTGAAAAGGGATGGATAAATTGATGCAGACTTTGTTGAACAGGGTTTTACTCAAAGGACCACACAGTTTTCTTCCTTTTATCCTCCATTTATTTTGTGAGTGTCAGGATATATTTACAATTGGTCCAGAAGCAGGAATCCTAGGAAATCTTCTCATGTTTGAAATCAGACTATTTTTGGCTTTCTCAATCACTGGTTTGATCTCTTTCCAGTCTTGAAAAAACTGTAGAACGAGCTTCCAGGGAGAGTGCAAGACCTTCAGAAGATAACACGAAGGTGGAAATTACAACTACAAAACAATTGCAGTTGCATATTTACTTAGGCTTTAGGTTTTTAACCTTTGTCTGTCATGGACCACATTGGACAGACTGGCAACCGGATGGGGAAGTAAAATGTATCTTAAATTATTCATCATGTCCATTGCCTCGTCTCCTTTAAAGAGTTATGTTCCTTGTTTAAAAAGCTTTGCTACAAAGTTGTAAGACATGCAAAATGTATCTCAAAATCTTCCAGCCATGATTAGATATTGGTTTAGATGAAATGAGAAGAATAACTTCTAACACACAGCAACTTGAAAACAAAAGCTATCACAGACATGTGCAATAATTGCAACTGCAAACCTACGTAGTAGGACAATTTGCCAATTTAAGAAACAGCAACTATGTACCAGGTCCAAGCATCACAGCATTAAATCAGTGGTTATGTCTGACCTGCTAGTAGGAGCGTGCTCTGCTCTCCTTACCGTTAAGATGCGTGTTAGTCTTGACTTGATGTGGTCTTCAAAGAGCCTGTTTTTATCACTCAATCTGGGACAGGAACCTATCAGATAGAAGCTGAGGAGCTGTAGCATGGGACACCTCATAATCCTAACTCAAGATCTTTTATGCCTCTTCCTCTATGTCTACATGCTTTCCCTTTGATGAAGCGCCACAGGTGTCCTTGGAAATGTATAGTTCTTTCTACCTCATACCTACTGCATCATGCGCATACAGAAGAAATTGTTATAATTGGTTTATGAATTACTTAGGGATTTTAAAATTAATATAAAGTTGCAAATGAAACTAAAAAATACTGTTATTCAGGATATTATATAAAATAGATGTACAATTTAACATGCTTAGAGGCATGATAAACCACCTCTACATTACATAACAAGGAGGTCATGAAAATTATAAACACATAATGAAAGAAAGAGGGAGAGAAAAGGAAGAAAAGTTGTTGGATCCAAGATGACAATAGTCCCAACAACAATAAGAGACTTAAAATCTCAATCCTAACTAGCAACAATTTGGTACCAAACTTCTAAAGTGAAAGCTTACAGTTGGAGGCTGAAGTAGTCTCAAAGATATCAAAGGCAACTAATAATGTCAAAATGAACGAAATTCAAGAACGCATGAAAAACCTACTCAATGACATCCATTACCTTGGAATAGGACTGCATTTTCCCCCAAGCCTTTGGAACATTCCCATGTGGTGCTGGCGTACCAGATTTAATTCAAGAGCCATTCCACCACTCACCTAGAAGCTCAGAAAACAATCCAGAATAAGTTCTAAATAGCTTCAGTTCTGACATTTCTCAGTATAGGCCTTCCATTCCTATCTCAGTCATTAGGCAAGAGGCAGGGTGCACCCTGGACAAATCAACAATGCACTTACTATCAGTATTCAAGTTGATGACAACCAAGACAAAAGTATTTTTTGGCTTATCATAATTAAGTAGATATGTTTTTTTATTTGACGTAACATTAGTACAGTGATTGAGAAAAAAAACACATCTATTCTTAGACAAAATAATTTTTAGTATGGGAATGTCCTAGGGCTGCTTTGATGCTTCAGGGCCTTCACAACCTGCCAAAAGTATTTGAATTCTGAATTCTACAAGAAACTACTCACAGATGTCTGCCCATCAGTTTATGAGATACGGTTTTTTTAGCAGGAAGATGGCCTTTGAATTGCTCAAATGATAAATTGAAAATTTGTAATTTTAATGAAGCCTGGTCAAATTCCTAACGAGGATCAAACCAAGCGGCTTTGAGATGGCCTCAAACAGGGCATCAAGCTTTAGCTGTGACATTTTAATAACAAACAGTTGGCCAAAATTCCCCTAGACTTAAGTCTGTACATTTTGACATAGATGTTTTATTTGTTATTACTTCATTGAACCAGGGAAGGCTCTTTGAGAATTGAAATTTCATTTACAAGGCTGGCCTGGACAAAAAAGCTAGAAAAGATATTCAATATTAAGTTTTACAAATTATAAAACATCCATCCATTTTCTTACACGCTTAATCCCGAGTGGGGTTGCGAGGGGTGCTGGTGCCTAATTCCAGTTGTCAATGGGCAAGAGGTGGGGTACACCCTGGACAGGTCGCCAGTCCATCGCAGGGCAACATAGAGACAAACAGGACTTACAACCATTCACACACAAACTCACGCTTAAGGAGAATTTAGAGAAGCCAATTAAGCTAACAGTCGTGTTTTTGGACTGAGGAAGCCGGAGTACCCAGAGAGAACCCACACATGCTGAGGGAGAACAAGCAAACTCAATGCAGCCAAGAATCGAACCCAGAACCTTCTTGCTGCAAGGCAGTAGTGCTACCCACTGCGCCACTGGGCAGCCCTATTATAAAACAACCAAATATGAAAAAAAATTCATATTTTTATATATGCATATGTATACATATATATATATATATATATATAAATATTTCATATTTGTCACAAAAGGGTAGTGGAAATGGGGCTATAGAAACAGAAGCAGAGATACAAAACGCAACTGTCATCCAGCTCCACAGGTTGGCTCCGTCCAGAAAAAAAAAAGAATATAAAATATATATATATATATATTTTTATTTTATTTATTTTTTTTTTTTCATATTATGAAACAACAAAATATGAAAAAACAAATTCCAATAGAGATTTAATAGGTTGGTCAAATATATCATTCAGAACATTTATGTTCAAATGCCCTATTTAGTTTAGGATTAGTTTAAACTCTGCCATCAGACTTTACAATGTGGCACTACACATGCAATAACTTGTGCAATAACTAATGTTTAAAGCAATTACTATTTAATACCATGTGCAATAACCTGTACAATAATCTGTTAAATAAATAAAAAAATGTCAGCTGTTATAGTTATCTCACTATATTACTGTTGTTCCTTACCTGGTACCACTTTAATGTACCATGCCAAATCCATATGTGTATAAATCACCTTAGATGTACATATGTCATACATATGTCCAATGTGAGATCATTAAAGTCTATCGTATCTTATCTTAATCTCGCTCACAGGAACAAGCTCCATCAAATGTAGCTTATTCTGAAGCAGATTCCATACATGAAGAGAAAAGTACTTAAAGACATATTTGTAAACTTTCTATGTTTTTAGGAACGTAGTTTATGTACGAGTATAGTAGGATCCTACACTTTTTCAAGTAATTTGATAGCATTTGCTACTGCCATTGGGTTGTAGTAGCAGTCATTTAGATTTTACGCCAAATACTTTTTTACATTGGGTAAAGTTGGTTGGTTTTCTTTCCAATTTATTACAATTTAAAACTCCATTCTGTATGTACTTTAGTTACTTTTGTCACAAGCATTTCTATTAGACAAATATACAAACTTAGTAAATAAAAACTACAATTTGTACTTTGAATGCATCATACATAAAGGTGGCTTTTGAGTTGTATAACCTTTAGCTTTTGCCTGCTTAATTGTACTAGCAAGAAATTGTGTAGATGTGCCTGTATCAATTTATGCCTGGTGTGCATGCTTGCACTATTCAGTATGTATAAAGGAAAAAGGGTTCACAGATACTGATGTGAGCAAAGAAGTGATGATAGAATCTTTCTGAAGTAAAAGTATGGTTTCAAATAAACAAGGGGGAGGACTCCCCCAACTAAGCTTTTCAGGAACTTCAAAAAGCCTGCAGACGAACGAGCAATCCTAGATGACAGGAGTAAAAATCCAGGCACAGGATTTGTGTTATTTTCTAAACAGCAAAGTTGATAAATGATCATCACACAGACCTCACCGAATGTGTTCTTTAGAGAGAGTATAGTTAAATGTTCCAGGGTGGGGGGGCAGTAATAGTTTTCCACACTCAGACCAAAGATTGCAAGGGTAAAGCATCATAAGGCGCCACTGGCCTGGCTCTTCAGGTCATTCTACGTACAATGGTTGCTATCAGACAACAAAAGCTGGCTTTAGACAACAGCTACTTAAGCGCTCTGCCCATAAAAGATTTATTGCATTAAACAACAAAAGGGCACCCTCAAAGATGCCTTTGAGGACAACTTCATGGAGGGTCTTCCATTGATGTAAACTTAACTCAGTCACACTGGGTTTTTCTGGTACCCAGAGCTCTCAACCATAAAAATTCTAATGGAAGCAGAGGAGTGTACAAGCAGGATATGAAGTGGAAATATTTCTCTAGCTCTTTTAAATGCAACTCCAAACCTAAATGTAATTATTTCTAACATTGGCTGGGCCCCTGTCAGAGAACTTGGCACAGAATTCTTCAACAGAGGTTAAGTGAAAAACAGCAAAGCATTGCTTGGAGCCAGTTTTGCTTAATTAAGTCAAGAGGCTTTTATAAAAACACCTAAATCAGGGCTGAAAACTTATAACTGACATGAATTTTAATTTTAAGGTAACCTCAGCGGCCATGATTCATACAAGTGTGCACACTTAATAAGGAGGTAAGTGTTTAGGGGTAAAAGTCAGACAGACTGTGGTTAGGGGCAAAGGAGTTAGGCTGTCTGGTACCTGAGGCAGCACAGGGTTCATCAGGGTGTGAGGTGTTCCTTCTCCTCTCATGTCGATAGACTAGATGCGGTTTGTTGTGCTCTTCATTGTATTCCTCCCCAGATGCATTCAAAAGAGGCTCCAAGAAGTATTCAGCATGCTGTGTCGTAAATGTTCCAACCTGGAGGAGAGAAAAGAGACGTCACTGATGGCTTTGGCACCATGCATGTGCTCGCATGTCGAAGCACACTGTGCTGTTTGGGCTCAGTTTACAATTAACTTTCATTGACACAAAAGTATTGCTATTCTTATCTGGGGAAGCACTCTTAAAAAGGCTAAGCTTATGACAAAAAACATTTTGAAAGTGTGCAGAATCAGAAATATATGTCAGAGTTTACTGTTAGTTTTGAGCTTTTAGCCACCAGTGTACAAGAAAAACTGTACAAATTGTGCACCTTCCTTGCACCAGAAAGCAAGGGACTTGCTTTGCCTGTGTGACAGTTTCATGCATCTGATCAGTTAGTGTGTTCACTATGAAAATGTGTTTCCCTCCTCACACTCTGACAGTTGGAGGAGTGACATCATCATAAAAGGAGAGAGCTGCTGACAGAGGAATGCTAATATTGATTTGGCAGCTCAGCCTCTCTCAAAGCCTCTTAGGTCTTTGAGCCAAGAGGCCCAGTGGTGTTTGCATGGTAATTTCATGCGCACACTTAAGCCGGATATTGGATACTGGAATGTTATCTTTACGGAAGCGTTATACCATAGCCATCTCCACAGGTGATGGACATTTGACAGTGGAAAACCTACAAATCGGATATGGGAAATGGGTACAAATGGTATTTGTTCCCTTAGAGTGGAAGGATTTGTTCACAATTGGTTTTCATCACCCTTCCTGTGGAGTATTACAAGTCTTGAGCAAAAGAGTAATAACAAACTTATGAAACAAATGCAACTACCGGTACTCAAATCAGTCAACATCTTGACAAGTAGAAACACCAAACTTTGACACTTTCCATGACATTTTTCCTTTACCTATACGCATAATATGCACTTCCAAGACACCACTGTACAAAAATTTACCCAACTTGCTGTTTTAAAGACCTTCTTTACACTGGACTAAAACTCCAAAATGAAATAAAAAATCAGTGAGAAAAATATGGTCTATTAAGGCTATGGAAAGGTCTGGGATCTGAAAATGACCCCAGTGTGCTCCACATTATGCATGATGGAGCATCAGAGCTCCCTGACTATCTTAAGCATGTACAGAATTTGCTGCTTAGTACCGGTAATGATCACAAAAAAATTCTAGAGTTCTGTGTTTTCCATAAAAGAACAGAGCAGACTGAATTTGGTTTGAATGTAGCTAAATCTGCTGGTTAAATATGCCGCTATTACCAAGCTGAAGCAAACAATCCACAAATTCCACAGGTGATAGACAGATGGAGAGATTTTTCACAATAAATGTGGTGAAACAGCTCATTATTTTGCATGGAGTTTGCTTGTTCTCCCATGCACATGTTGTTTCTCCCTGTGTACTCTGGCTTCCCCCCCAGTGGCACGGGAAGGGGGGTGCTGCGGGGGCTGCACTAATGATTCATTATTTTAATATTTCATAAAAAACTAGGCTACTCCCCCGGAAGCTTCTGCCACCTCACATTCGTTTAGGCATGGCTAGCAATAGGCAGCAGAAACGTATTTCTGACTAATTTGAGGTAAGAAATGGTTTTAATTCCCCTATACTGCCGCATTTAGCGTTATTTATGTGCCTATTCGTCGTAGTCCTGTGGCTGAAGAAGTCTACGCTAGAATAAGGCTGCATATCACTAAATATTATATAAATATTAAATTA